TATGTATTGCTTTTAGGTATTACAGAAGTCGGCTGACAATTGAGCGACATAATTTTCTCTCTCATATGTAGTGTTTTTAAGTATTATTATGAGCGATTTCCCAAAATAGGACCACACAGGGTCTGAAATTCCAAAATATGACTGTTATGTTTTTCTTCCCAAAATAGGACTAAGATGACATTATTTACCGTTATCTTTTGGACATGACTGCCAAATAGTTGTAGTACTATGCATTCAACATGACAGTATTTATTATAATTAATGACAATATTTTTCAATCATGACAGCAACAACTCTTATTTCAGAAAGAATAACATAGTGGTCTTATTTTGGAATTCCCAAAGTTGTTTACTCCTATTTAAAGCAAATTTCCCTATTATTATTACGAAGTACAATTGAACGGGAGAACTTTCTCTCTCATATGTAGTTCTTTTAAGTATAATATATATGAGATAAGTTGACTAATAATTGAGCGGGAGAATTTTATCTCTCATATGTAGTGGTTTTAGCCTTTTAATTATACGAAGATGTGGATCGTTGCGCTTACCGCTACACTAAAAGCAATCGCTGATAGTGTAGCACGCTCCTCCCCATTTATAGCACATGCGAAGCGCCACGCGGCTCGATTGCACCGGCAGGCTGGCTGTTGCTGCCACCGCATACCCACGGCCCAACAGAAGATAATCTTGCTAATAATTGAGCGAAATAATTTCTATCTCTCTCTCATATGTATCTACTAGATACTAGAAGATAAACTTGCAAACAGTTGAGTAGGGAAATTGAGCAGGAGAGTTTTTCTCTCACATGTAGTGCTTTTAGGTATGAGAAAATAAGTTTGCTAACAATTGAGCGAGAAAACTTTCTCTCTCATATGTAGTTATTTTAATTATAAGGCAAGTCTGCTAACAATTGAGCGGAAGAATTTTGTCTCTCATATTTAGTGTTTTTAGTTACAAGATAAGCCGGCTAACAATTGAGCGCTATTTTTTCTCTCATGTGTAGTGATTTTAGGTTAAAGAAGATATACTTTCTAACAATTGAGCATGAGAATTTTATCTCTCATATGTAGTGTTTCTTGGTACACCACATTAGCTTGCTAACAATTGAGCGGGAGTATTTTCTCTCTCATATGTAGTGCTTTTAGGTATTAGATCTGTAGTGATTTTAGGTTAAAGAAGATAAACTTTCTAACAATTGAGCATGAGAATTTTATCTCTCATATGTAGTACTTCTAGGTACCACCACATTAGCTTGCTAACAATTGAGCGGGAGAATTTTCTCTCTCATATGTAGTGCTTTTAGGTATTACATTAGTTAGAAGATAAGCCGGCTAACAATTGAGCGTTATTTTTTCTCTCGTGTGTAGTGATTTTAGGTTAAAGAAGATAAACTTACCAACAATTGAGCGGGAAAATTTTGTCTCTCATATGTAGTGCTTCTAGGTATTACCACATAAGCTTGCTAACAATTGAGCGGGATAATTTTCTCTCTCATATGTAGTGTTTTTAAGTATTAGAAGATTAGAAATAAGTTTACTAACAATTGATCGGGATAATTTTCTATCTCAAACGTAGTTCTTTTAAGTATCAATATAACATAAGTCGGCTCACAATTGAACAAGATAATTTCCTCTCTCATATGTACTGTGTTTAAGTATATGAAAATAAGAAGATAACATTCCTAACCATTGAGAGAAATAACTTTATCTCTCATTTTATTTCTTTTTAGTATGATCATCTGACTAACAATTGAGCGGAAAGTTTTCTCTCCGATATGCAGTGCTTTTAGGTATATAAGAAGATAAAATGGCTAAAAATTGAGCGGGAGAGTTTCTTCTCTCATAAGTAGACCTTACTTATGAGCGGAAGATTTTCTTCTAATACAACGTATAAGAAGATAATATGGCTAAAAATTGAGCGGAAGAGTTTCTTCTAATACAACGTATAAGATAAACCAGTTGGCTAACAATTGAGTGGGCGAATTATGTCTCATATACATACTTAGCTCTTTTACTTATAAGATAAAACATCATCTAACAATTTAGCAAGGTAATTTTTTCTTCATATGTTAGCACTAATTTAACCAATGAGTAACAAATCACTATTTAAGTAATATCATTAATTTTAATATTTATTGTATTCACTTCATGTCACTAACTTATTGTAACCACTTTTTTAGAGTAGTATTAATTTTAATACGTAGTATTTATTATAATCATGAAAATTATTAAGTAGCAAATTCTAATGAGTGGTGTCTGTTAACTTTCCCTAATATACTCTTCATCGAAAATGTAGAAATCTAAAATGTTTTTTTTTTTAATTTTAATATTTAATTAAATCATAAGTAAAATATATGCATCGACTGCTTCTTCCCGTGCGTATGCACGGGTACTATACTAGTTTGTATATTTAAAAAAGGAGGTAAGGGTCAGATTGGTACTATACTCGAAGATAACTGCGCTTCTAACTGCGTAGTTATTTTCAAAAATTCATTTGAATGCCTTCCCGATTGAAGTTTTAGCTGAAATTTGGTATGAGTAAACTAGACTTCATGCATAAGATGCTAAAAAAATTTCATCAAAAAAATCCACCGGGAACCACTCCAAATGGCGACGGCCGGACAAAACCTCCTAAATAAGGGCTTATTTGACCTTTTTTTATTAGTACATGGGTCTATTTGCACCTTTTTCCGAATTCTCACCCAGTGTATAAAATAATTTTGGACGTCACTCATATCATCATCAAATTACGATATTTATTACTACGTAGAAGTCACAGTTGTATTATTGAGATTGTCAATTTAAAAAATATTATTTGATGGATGACCTTCCATCGACCAATAATAACTTCATAGTACTACCAAAGTGATGATTATTGCCGAGGAAGAAAAATCAAACTTGCCAAATATATAATCAATTAGATAATCGACAACCTTGTCCATACCATTAACGGCAACCATTAAATAATGTTCATTAAGTAGGGACCAAAATAATTATATATGTGGTGCCACAATCGATTTAAACCAATGCTTTCTCATCCTCTTTTCTCACCTCACTGTCAAGTGCAACTACATGGCCATAGATGTACCAACACGCAAATCATGATTTTCGATTTATTTTATGTGGGCAAATCACAATTATAGCTTTTAGGTCTATATCTCAATAAATATTTTATTTTCAATCATTAAAGAGATACTATCGGTTATTTTATTGAGTTTATGAAAATCACGAAAAATTTATCATTGATGACCTATTGAGTATTGAATATAAGTCCCCAAATTTAATGAGAATAAGGCTAACTGCAACCCAGCCCGTCAATAAATCTAATTCCCCACCAGTTTATACGTATTCACGAAGTCAATCCATTTTTTCCTTGCAACCCAACCCCGTCAATATGTCCACTCAATATGTTTTTAATTGAAATTTCAATTATTATTTTTTTAACTTTATATATATACAATATTGATGTCATTTGAAAGATCATAAAATGTTATGAAATTTGATATATTTTTTATAAAATTTGGACTATAAATAAAAAAGTTATGACCATTTAAATAAAAAAAAGTGTTTTATTTTATCTTTGGTCCCACATCCTGTTACTCTCCCTTGATGCAACGCGCTGCCTTCGATGCTCTCTCTTTTGTTCGCAGGAGTGGATATGGGGCATAGCTATCCCTCCCATGGGTTTTCCATACTCCCTGTGGCTCCCTCTTATACATATTTTTGTTTGGGTTGAAGCTTAATTGGGGTGAATAGTTCAAATTTGGGGCTTTCACCCCACCGGTTGCGGACAGCCTAAGGACACAAATATTACATGCTCCATCTCCTTAAATGAAGTTCTCGTTTTTACCTACACATATTTATGTAGGATATAGTTTTCTTTTGATTTTTCAAATATACCCTTATTTTATATCAAATCAAACAAAAAATAGATTAAAAAGTACCTAGTAAGATTGATTGAGACTTTTTGCTTAAACATAGTTTTCTTTTATAGAAATGAGAAATTATTTATGAGACAACGGAAAGTAGGAACTTTTTTTTCGGGACGATGCCACAGAGGTAGTATAGATTTGTAAACTTTTTTTTTTGTTATCCCACTAACTTTGTCACTTTCCATTTTAAGTAAATAACTTGTTATTCGTGTTAAATCTCTCTCCTTTGCACAAACTTCTATCATACAGTTTTTATTTTATTAATCCTTATGTCTGTCAATTTGACAAAGTTTTAAGGGACAAAGGGGGGAACTATACTTTGAAGGGCAAATTGTTCCTTTGTCATTGTAGACTTCAGATCGTCCGATCAATGGTTAACGAATTGTTATACTTCTGTCAAGTAATTTTATGCCTAATTCTATTGTTGATGTTCACATTCATGGTGTTTTGTCCGCTAAAGGTTCCACGAGTTCTGATATGTAACTGAAGGTAAAATGTGTTCAATTTACCTTCAATCCAACTTGAAGACCAAGAATTTAGAAGGTAAAATATGTTCAATTTACCTTCAATCCAACTAAAATATCCTTAATCAAAATTTTCAATATATTTAAATCAATCCAACTAATTTTTTTATGTAACTGAAGGTAAAATGTGTTCATTTTAGGAGGATAATAAGTTTTTATAAGGAATCCAAAAAAGGTAAGAATCAAACCAAATTTAACTAGAACCAAACCAAATTTAACAACCACATTTTTTACTAAAACCGAACCGAATTTAACACCTACAATTTTAATATGGTTCCTTCATATTTTAACCAGAACCGAACCGATCCAAGGACTACAGATAAGTCCATTTTGTACTTATTTTTCTACCATATTTGAGTGATTTTTGGATAGAAAATAGAAAAATAAGGCATGTTTTAAATATTTTGGTTCAACTTTCATGAAATCAGGTGAAAATCACATTCATGATATATTTGGCGAAATTCCAGGTCAATTGAGCACAAAATGAGTCAATTTGAGTAACAAATGAATTCATATCGGAAGAAACAAACATAATATCAAAGTGGTCTAGAAGACAATCTTGAAGAGCAGAAAATACGGCACAAGACAGATAGATTTACTTACAGGTGGTCAAACAGGCGGCCAATATTGACCGCACAACTGGCCGCCTATGGCTATTTTGGAAAGTCAAAGTTTGTCTTTGACCAGAAACGGAAAAGACCGAAGGCTGCCGACATAGGAAGAAGGGCGGCCGCCCTCGGCAACCGCCTGTGGCACAACGCGACAGAACCAACAACCGGCCGGTGTGAATTGACGGAAGGCGGCCAGAAAGGAACGGCAGGCAGCCGCCTACCCTGACCGCCTGCGGCGTAGCGACGCGCGTCACGATCATTTGCCGGTGAGGAGACGGTAGGCGACAACACTCTAGTAATGTCGTTAATTTTTTCTCGCGTCTCCTTCAACTCTTCCAAGATGATGGACATGGGGTCCATCAGGTCCGCCAACATCTGTCTCATAGGCAGGATAGGCGGTGCAACCGCTTGGGTCACCTCCTGTCTAATTGGTGATGAGATGACGGTTACTTCAGGTTCTTGCCTTATTTGATCTAGGATGTCGACACTTTCTGGAACTCGTCACCTTTGGGATTCTGTAAACAGGTTGTGGAACACATTCCATCTAGGATATGGAAGAGGAACATATTGATTTGATGGTCCCAATTCTCCAGACATTCTGGTCCTCAAATGAGTGATGAATGGCTCTGTTGGAGCCGACATGGCAGTTGATGTATGCAAGCTTTGATTTAATGAATGCAGACCTGCCATCACTCGTCTACTTTGCAACGTTTCCGGAAAGAAGCAAATCAGGATATTGGGGGCCGGAGTTGCCTCCGGAACAAGAGGCTCGTAAGGTATGACTTGCGAGATGACCGTGGATTGAGGATTACCGGTGGGTGATAGCCCAATGTGAGAGATAACGACTCTGTTATATTGACAACTGGTTCGGTCAAAATTGGGGTGGAGCCCAACTCCAATCTCGTCATTGCTGTCATGGCATCACTCCTTCGGTTGAATCTTGAGTAAGAAGCTATAGATGCCACCGACTGGACTTTTGAGAGCACATCACATCATTTTCTCGTTGGATGTAGGCGATCCGCTGAGCCATTTCACGCCGGATTTCCTCCTTGCCGGTCTCAAGTTGCTCGTGAAATTCAATCAGCAGAGGATTTGTACTTTCGGCCACGATCGATTCTTCTTTGCACGAACTTCCCATAGACAACGCCAAATTGTTTATGCTAGAAATAAACTAATCTAAGAATATGAATGAAATGGGAATAAAACAAATATGAATCGATAATGAATTGATTAAGAATAAAGAAATGACGATAACTTAATAATATGGAGTAGTTCGAATAATTTGAATGTGTGTGTGAGCACAAATTGATCGTGTATTACATTAAATTGAAGTATATTATTAGATAATTTTCTTCTTCCCCAAGCCTTGCAACCATCCCATCTATTTTGCCTCCACTTCCAACCGAATTGACTTTCAGTTAGGCTCCACTCTCTTGTTGGATTGATCCCTAGTTTTGCTGACTTAGTCACTCGTTAATTGATGCGCATGTATTAGGATTTGGGCTGGCCCGTCTAATTAAACACTTTTATTTATCGGCCTATTTGGAAGGAGAATCTTCGGGCCCAACACTCTCCTCCCTTGATTGATGACTCCATCACCATCTCAACTTCTCAAGTCTCAACTCACTCACTTCTCTATCAATCACTCCCTAGAACTTTCCACATTTTGTCTCTCCTCCCCGTCGATCCTCTCAGTCCTCACCCTCACAATATTCATTGTCATCGGTTTTTCAGTTGTCCGCCACAGGCCTTCTAGTGTTTGTTATTCTGACAATTGTCGAAGGATATTTCGAAGAGACCAGTCAATTATGATGAGGACATAAGCTTTTTTAACCCATGTGGAAACAAAGTGATAGAGTATTAATTCTAGAGAGAAGTGAGAGCTAGAGAGAGAAAGTGAGTAATTATATTTCTCAAATTGGAAAGAATCCCCCATAATTAGCCCCTTGGGGTCTATTTATAGGTAAAAATGTGGATTTGGGCCCCTAGCCTTGGGCTTAGGAGGCCCATTACAATAATCATGCCTTCTTTGGGCAAATAAGGCCACTAATGGGCTGAGTACAACACTTAGTACATAAAATAGAAAAGTACATTCTGCCCGGCGAAGTTCGGACGATGCGGTCCATGGACGATGCGGTCCATGGACGATGCGGTCCATGGACGATGCGGTCCATGGACGATGCGGTCCATGGACGATGCGGTCCATGGACGATGCGGCCCTCTGGCCGCGATGCGACGATTCCCGATGACTACTTCTTTGGACGTCGCGGGTCATCTGGACGACGCGGGTGCCCCGCTGGTGTCTTTTGGGCTATTGGGTATGTGGGCCATGGGGTCCAGGCCCATATACTCTATCAGGAGTCCCCCACTCTCTGAGCTGAGGTGAAGCCGAAGCGAAAGGGAGTACTTTGTTCCTTTCTGGCTGGCCGTTGCGTGAGCCCAGGGCGTTTGATGGTCGAAGAGTTCCTGTTTTGATTTTGGATGAAGCGGTTCCCTTATTTGATGTAGATGAAGCGTGCTTGGGAACTCATAGCCTTGATGCGGGCCGAAGCACACTCTGTGGGAGTGCCCTTGAAGACGAGGCGATGCGCTTTCTTTTTGTAGATGATGCGATGAATCCTTGGTGGATAAGTTGGCATGCTTTCGTCGTTATCCTGTTGGGGCCGAAGAGCTCCCATTTATCCTTTTGGCCGTGGCGAAGGCCTATTTTCATGAGATGAAGATGGTTGATTCTGTTTATGTAGACGATGCGCACCTTTGATTTGTCATGCAGCCGAAGCGTTTTTGACTTGTGAGTTTTTGTTATGGTGAGACGATGCGGTCTTCTCAGTGTACGCAGCCGTTGCGATCCTCTTGTATTGGTGGTCGTAGCACTGCTAGCGAATAAGCCGATGCGCGCTGATTTAGTGATTTTATAGCCGACGCAATCCTTAGTATTTTGATGGCCGATGCGATCTTTTGTTATTGGTCGTTGCGCTCTCTCTTTTTGTAGCCGATACAGTCCCCCAGTCCCCCACTCCTTTGGCCGAAGAGCATCTGAGGCACAAGGGAGTAATGAGCCGATCCGGTACCTATGCGTTGGTCGTGACTCCAACCCTTAGGCGAACCTGTCCAAGGTAACCCTGTGGGAGAACCCTTGGACGAAGGCCGCAATGCCAGGGTTATCATCGACGATGCGCGCACAAGCAGCCGTAGCGGTCTATTTAAGGTTCTTTGGGTTGTTGTGAGGACGTCGAGTTTAGGCCGATGCGTTGCTTATTCGGGAGAATGGGCCGATGCCTTTTCGGGAGCTTTGTAGTAATTGGGCCGTAGTGGTGCTCGGCCGATGCCCTGTTCTTTGTTAAGGCTGAGTTGGGCCGTAGGGGTGCTAGCTTGGGTGATTTTGAATTGGCGCCCCTTGATTGGTTGTAAGAGAGGTGGCCGTTGGTGGAGCCAATGGGATGGCGCCACGTGTAGTGACCGTTTGGAATTTTTCTATAAATACCCCCCCATTCCGAAGTCACCTCTTCATTTGTGCCTTGCTGTTGTCGAATTGCTGTCCGAGTTTTTGTAGAGAGATAAAGTCCCGAGATTTCCCAAGTGTTCGTCGCATTCTTCAAAACCCCTAAGGTTAGATATTCTTGATTTTCCTTTGATTTCTTCATTTTTTGCTCCTTAGGGTGTTAGATCTAGTGTTTAGGAAAGTCACTTTGATTCGAAAAATACGCTTTGGACGTAGCGGTAGTTGTTATGCCGTCCCCTGACGGCCGTAGCGTCCCTTCCCCTATTGATTTGACAGCTTCGCTGAACGAATCCGACTGGCCTTTTGACGACGAGGACACATCTCCTGGGGTTGATTTGAGAGTGGTGGAGGCTTTTGAGATTGAAATGGAGAACACTGCGGATTATCGCACTTCCGTGGACGAGGAGCGTTTGAGTCCCGATGCGGGGTGCTCAACACTCTGGTGAGGACGAAGCGAGCTCTGACCCTAAACTTCGTGGCGACGATGCGGGTGATGCATCCTCGGCCGCTATTCCTTGTCCTCTTCCGATTACTTCGGTCCCTGGTGCTGCTTCGTCTTCGTCTGACCCCAAGAAGCGTAGGTCGCGTCGTCGGGCGGGGTTGTCAAGCAGTATGTCACAGTTGGATTTGACCAACATTTATATTATAAGGCCGGAGGGGTCCCAGGGTGACTATCAGGTGGCACAACTCTACGTCGGACCTTATGGTACGGTCAGGGCGCCGAGGCCGACGGACCACGTCCTGGATCCGCCGCCTGGTTACTTCGGAGTATATCCGATGAGTTTTTCCCAAGGTCTAAGGTTCCCTCTCCCTTCTTTCGTTGTGGAGTATCTTCGTATGATAGATCTTCCTCCGGCTTTATTGACCCCGAACAGTTATTCTCTTATTGTTGGGTTCCTTATCCGATGCGATGAACTCGGTATTGAACCGACGACGGCGTTGTTCATGAATTTGTACCGTATCGGCCGGGGAAGTCATGAGAACTGTGCTGGGTACGCGGCCCTACAACAGTTGCCGAAGAAAAGGTCCTTTACCGACCTCCCGTCGTCCATTCACGGGTGGAAGAGCAAATTCTGTTTCGTGAAGTTGGCCGAAGGGGTGTTCTTTCCTTCACAAGGGCATAGTGGCATTTTTAATTTGCATAACCCGCCGAGGAGTGCCGAGATCGATGCCCAAGTGGAGGCATTCCTGAAGGGTGGGCCTCGAAGTGTTAATACCTACATCACCGAGTTCAAGATAGCAGCTCTTGGGATGATGCGGTACTATATACCAGGCGACCCGGACTGTGGTTTATGGCCGAGGATGTCCGGATATTTTGAGCAGGCCGATGGGCCCCATTTAGGCGTCCCAGCCGATGTCGAAGGTTGATCACTTTCTTTGGACTTATATAGTGATTCTTTGTTTTTGCTTTCTAACTCTTTTGCTTTGTCCTTTGTATCCGCAGATTTCACCATGAGCCGTAAGCTCTTCATGGCCCAGGCGAAGAAGATGGTCGCCAAAGAGATGGAAGCCGCTCAGCAAGCCGGGGTGTCCAAGGGGTCCGGTGATGGCTCCAAATCTCAAGCCGATGCGGTGAAGAAGGCCGCTGCGACCAAGAAGAAGAAGAGGTCCGCTGAGGGGCAACAGACCTTGACGGAGGCGGGGCTGCTGCCGGCTGAAGGTGCTAAGAAGGCAAAGCCGAGCCCTCCCCTTAGAGATGCTGTTATGGCCGATGCGCAGGCGTCGGTTCAACGGGAGGCTGCCTCTGATGTGCAAGTCATCGAGGATCTGACATTGAATGTCGCCTCGTCCTCCCTCGTTCCTGCTAAATCTGGTGCCGCTGCCAGAGAGAGGGCCCGTGCCAGCCGAGACCTGACCTCCGGTCTCTATGAGGTGACGGTGCGGTATCCGCCTAAGGGCGGTTTATTCAACGAGAAGGTCTCTGGGCACGACGTCCTGTTCCAGGCCATTCCCGATGCCGACAGGGAGTACCTACGTCGGCAGAGCAAGGATGTGCGTCTCTTTGA